TGTAAAAATCAGTCAATTGAGCACATGGTAAGCATATGAGCACAATTGAGCTAAAATGATTGAGCACATAGTATACAGAAGGTTGGGCAGATAACCGATTAAGAATTTGAAATCAGTTGAACTCCATCCTCATAGTAGCATTCTTGTAACATCATTATTTTAATTCTAATATCAGGACAAATGGGTAAATAGTTCAGCTATAAAAGATGATGCAAGTAATATGGCAATACAAAAATTTTTTTTATTTTGCTAAATTAAAAGTAGAGCCTTTAATTAACTTTAAATTTTTTTATTTAATTTATTAATAATAGTTGTTAAAATTACTTTTTTTTACAAAAAATATTACTTTATTACTTCAAATATCTGGATAAATATAACACAGTAAAAGATCCATATAATGCAATTCTATAAACAGTAATTTTCCAAAAACCACATTAACTTTACGGGTCTGGAAGCTATCTAGAATAATGAACTTTTTACATTATTTGTTTAATTTTTTTTATTACATTAAAATTTTAAAAATTAAACTAACCAAAATTGATAAATTTGTTATTACTTCTAATGCCATGATTCTTTTTAAAAGTAAATTATACATATTTATTCCAGGTGAGAAATTCTTTCAATTTTTGGTGGAATTTCTAATTTTAAAAACTTTTGAAGAAGTTGGATTTCTAAACTTCATTATTTTATTCTCTTTAATCTTCATGATCTAAATATAAAGCTTAACTATTCGTTGGACTGCCAATAAATAGTAAAAAAACTAACTTTAATAAAGTATTTAAATATCTTAACTTAATGTTTCCTTTTTGCACACAATTGATTAACACTTTTATTTTTTTCATGATTTAAGTTGGTAGGAATTTTCAGACCTTTTTTTTTCTACTCTCATGCCGATTACATATTTCTGTGTTTTTATTTTTTTGTGTTTAAAAATTATTTTATATCATTTTATGATTGATTTGTTCCTCACTAATAATGCTGCCATGCTTAATGGATAAGTTTAACGGAATATGAAACAATATATTATAACTCAAAATTCTATAGAATGCAAAACCTCATATTTCAAGGTTTACATTATAAAAATCTTCAAGTGTGATATCTAAATAAAACAACTCAATAGAAAATTTCACTAACAATAAATTTGTAATTAATATAGCCGTAATAGCAGCATAGCATAACAGCAGGCTATTATTATGAGCAGCAAATTAATTCGATAACCTCATATTTCTATTTTAAGAAATGCCAAGTTACATAAGCTCTTTAAAAGACTATAACAGGAAATATTTAATTGGCATTAACTTAGTTATAACTATTTTATAACATAGCTCAAAGTGTTTGAGAAAATGGACACAGCTGAAACTTTTAGATTCTTTGATTTTTGCCTTCAAATCAGCATAAAAATAAGAATAAGAGGTCATTACTGTCACCAACTTCTATAATTTATTTTCTTTTTTTCATGATTCTTTTAATTTATTCAATTTGAATAACAAAATGTAACCCTTTGCAGTTACTAATTGAGAGCTATTATTTGTAACTGCACACTTTTTATTACAGTTAATGATAGAGATTTAAGAAGACTTCACACAATTAGTCTGGTTTGATATTTAAGAGATTCGGACAAAATTTGTGTTATGATTACAGCAAATGACGAAACACAGAACATTCTGTTACTACATAGGATGAACACTAATACTAATAAAATAAACAAGTTCGCATATAATTTCGACATAAATTATGAGTAGGCACTGTATACATGTGGGCCCTAAATTCGAAATTACCTGTATATATAATTAATATATATTACACTCTTTACGGAAACTTTTTTGATGTTACTCATTATAAAAAATATAGCAAAGTATAAGATAAAACAAGGTAAGTCAATAGCTAGTTTAATATCTTCAAAAAACTGCTAATTTTAAAAAAATATGTGCTGATATGTATATTAATAAATGCTAAAGAGTTATAGAAAAATTAAAACACTTTTTTTAAAAAAAATCAGTGACCTTCGAGCAAATTTCATCAAAATTAGGTGGTGATGAAAGAAAAGAATTCACAATTGAAAAGCTATTAAAATAATAATACGTCCTATGGAAAAATGCGCAAGCAACAGTGAATCCGAAAGGATTTGAAACAAGAGAAACATTGAAATAAGGAAAAAATATGACAACCCGAAGTTGACGTCTTCAGGGGGTACCAGCTCCAGAAGTCATAAAAGCAAAACCTTTTATATCGAGAGAGCACTACAAAAAGTCTAAAAATTTCACTCTATTTGCCTTATTATTATTCTGTATTTGCTTTATGTATTTTATATTACGTAATATATTCTTTTCCTGGACTTTGGCAAAACCTTTGGGGTACAGAGAGAGCAATTTTTAGACTTTTTGTCATGCTCTCTCGATAGAAAAGGTTTTGCTTCTATGACTTCCGGAGCTGGTACCCCCTGAAGACCTCAGCTTCGGTTGTCATATTTTTTCAATTTTTTTCATATTTCAATATTTCTCTCGTAGTGATGAAAGGGTCTAAACTACAAGAATCTATTAATTGCTGGCATAAATGTTTTTAAACGAGATGTGTTCAAAGAAAGTATTCTGCTTTTGTGTATAAGTAGCTATTCTATCTATTATTTTGGTAGTACATTAAAATCAAATTTCCTAAATATATGTTAAACATTTAACACAGTATAGAATATAGTTGTGGATCTGAAGTGGCACTTTAAAAATACTAAAACAAAGAAATAAAGTTATTTTATTGAATGCAAAGGGGAGCCAAGCCAGACCCAGAACAATCAGGTGTCTACATGATTGCTGTTAGATTGAGAAAAACCTTTCAAAGGGTTTTTATAGTTTTCTAGACAAAATATTTAAATATAAATGAATCTTAATAACATGGGACCGATTTAATTCCCATAACACTAAAAACTATATCACATTAATTTAGTTAATTAAATCAATTTTATTACTTTGTAGGAAAAGTTTTAACTGATTGTATATTAGAATTAAGTTCTAATTATCGATTAGATTTAATATTGCCAGAGTTTTTTCTCTAGGAATAAAAGAGGGCAGGGCACTTACTCGCAGGAGACTACACTTTGAATTTTGAAAGACCACTTTGAATTTTGACTTAAAGCTATTAAAATTTATCAAAATATGTAATATTGTGTTACTGAATTTGATCCTCAATTTCAAAATTATCCTTTTATTTTATTTCATGTGCATATTTCACGAAGTAATTCTCACACATTATCAAAATAACAGAAAGAGTTGAAGCTTAAGAAAAATAATAAAAGGCAAGCAAAAACACAATCTGTGTATAAATTTTTCTCAAAAAAAAAGAAAGTTAACTAAAAAGAGGGATTAATAGATGAACAACTTTAAAGCTTTTTTTTACATTTAAAACAGAAAATTAAGAAAAAATATATATTAAAAGGGACATTTTTGAATAAAAAGGTCTTTATTAATATTAATTAAATGGTAAAACTTAAAAGCACAAAAAAATTCATTAATATACACCCCTCCCTAATAAAAGATGTGAATATCTCTAAGGCCAAATCTCATGCAAATTTTAGCTATATGACTAGAGGACGTAAGAAAAATCTTACTAAAATGAAGGAATGAAAATAAAAATTAAGGTTAAATAATTATCAAAAACAAAATAAATCAGAAATAAACTTTTTAATAACACAAATGAATCTCTTCGGAAAACAATCTTTTTCCGAATAAATAAATAAAAGACAGTGTTTTAAAGGGATGGCAGCTTATTTTTACGAAAAGGGTGAAGAGGGTGCATGAGGCAGTGCAGGCCGCCCTTCTAAAAACACTGCAGGAGACAATGATATTACATAATATCTATTTTAAAGGTGACAGGATAGATTTGTGTTTGATACAAAATCAAAAAAAAAAAATTTAAATAATCATAATAGAACTTTACAGTGAAAATTTTATCTTACAATGACTCAACCAATGGTTTATGTTTTTCTTTCTTCAAGTTTCGAAAGCAGTTTATCTTCATTTCAGCATTATTTCAAACAAATGTGAAATCATTTTTAGCAACAAAAATTTAATTAAATTTATGTCAAAAATTAAATTATGTTAAAAATTTAATTCTTGAGGAAGGGCTGGTGTTAAATTTCTGTTGTCATTATGAAATTATAGCCTTCTGCCAATTTTATATGTTTATGGAAAAGAACATTCTCCGTAATAATGCTCTTCATCCTAATAACTCAATATCGGTCTTGTATAGAAATATTGGTATTGCTCCGATTAACACCCCTCTGATTCATCTGCATTAAGAAGGATTTGACTAAGCAGAGGATTTATATAACTTTCTGGGCAATATATTTAAATATTAACAGATCTTAATATGATGAAACTGATTAATTTCCAATAACACTTATAAAGATAAATTGAACTGGGCCTACTATAGTTGTGAAAATTACATTTCCTCAACTATAAGCCTGGTTAATGGAAATTCAGAGCTATGAGCTTACACAGAGAGTGAGTATTCCACAATGTACATTCTTTATTAAAATCCATAACAAGTTTTTAATATGAATAGTGATGATTCATATAGATTTTAGAAGATGTAACAGACACTTGTGGTTCATCTACTGGCACAATGAGTGAGCGATAAATGAAACTCTGCTGAATCTAACTTTAGTCAACATCTATCAAACTATAGGAGGCTACAGGTTATTATTAGCAATAAAATGGATTTGGCTTACTACTGTTGTAAACATCCCATAGAATTTAAATCAAAATCTAAATATAAACATTACTAATCATGCAGCAGACATTAATTCAGCAACTGTCATGATGAGAAAGAGATAATAGAAATTTTGCTTTATCCCATTTTTGTCAACAATGAACACATAACCTATGGTTTGGGTTGGGCTATGGGTTTAGTCAGCAAAATTTATAAATTGATTTGGTTTACAATACTTGTGATCCTCCCATATATCAATACACGTACAATAATGTCATCAAATATATTTATAAACTTACCATGGAACGAGCAAGGCATATGGCTACACATATCTTGAATACCATAACAGTAATCACCATATGCATCTGACCCTGGTGGGTATACTTCGTTTCCATTGGGCTCATAATATCCAGCTACCATTGCAGTTATCATTGGAGAAACTAGTGTACTTTTCCTACAATCACAAACACGTAGATTAGAAAAACAGAGCCTGTCACCATAAGCAGTGAATAGTGCCAATCAACGTAAGCAGTGAATCCAAACTCCGACGCTGAACATCAATTTTTGCTACACTTAATGATAAAAAAAAAATGATCTCACACACTGATCATTCACTGGCAGTAAGAAAAAAAAATAACCGGATCTATTGGTATTTATCGGCTTGTTGAAAACGAGTTGAATGTTTACAATAATAAATAGTACAATCAAATGATATTTCTAGCACAAAAACTAGCTCGTAGGACACACACAACAGTAAATCCAAGCGATTGATAAAAAATCCGGCGATTTTTGTAAAAGAATTAATCACATATGTATTAGTTTTTGAATGATGACGTTGAGAGCTACATATTATTTGACGTCTTCAGAAACTAAGTGCTTAACAAAAATAGCCAATGAATTACGTAAATCACTCACACACTCTTCGATATCCAGTTAGGTAGCATTTGATGGACAATTAAAACATATTTCTCATTAATAAAGCAATCGGATTATTCAGATATCAAATCCACTTGTGATTTAAAAAAGCACTTTATATGTAACACACCGATCGCTTTACCGTAATTCGCATACTTAAGATCCTCCACGAATGAATTTCATTGGCAATCATTTCACACAGAATTCGTGTAGCCTCGAACCCAAACAAACAATGACGTAATGATTCCGCAAAAATTCCTTTTCAGTAGTGAAGCGCTACCTAGCGTCCAGAAATTTCTAGATCTCTTTTGTTAAATCGTAAAATAAAATATTCAAACAAGTTCGGAAAAATTTATAAAAATTCAATTTTAGTCGAGGGTTTAGTTTAATGATCTTATATGAAATTTATAAAAGCTTGAATGAGACGTTTATGCAGCCCTCCCTATGTGACGTGGTGCTGATAGAGTCCTGCGTCAGGATCCAAGATTCTTGACTTTTTCTTTGTTTCAAATTTTAAAAATTCAAGCATGGATTCGGAGGGTGGTGATTATCCAGATTAACCTTGAGACTTTTTTCTTTATTTGCCAATACAAAAATTAAAATAGAAATTTAAACAACTGAAATATGTATTATTAAAAATTAATTGCTTATTTCTGACATTATACAACGCTTCAAAAAATTTTCATGAAATGTAAAGTTGTTGCAAGTTATTAAAAAAACTAATTAAATTTAATTAAAAATGTGTACAGACTAATACATTATACATAAAAAACAGGTAATGTTGAGTTTTAAGAACGGAAATGTAATTCTACTTTAAGGGTTCCGCACTTGATAAGTTACCAATGAAACTAATCAATATAATAAATTTGAAATTAAAAATTTTAAGTTGCTCATTTTTAAGAATGAAATCTTTAAAAAAATCCTAAATTAATGAATCATGAAATTTATTTCAATATCTAAGCGAAAATCTAACGGTGAATCTAACTTTCCTCGGAAAGAAAAGGTTAAAAAGACTTAGCAACGTCTAGGACTGGTACTGTTTATTATAATTACTATCTATATTTGGTTAGTAGAATATTTAACACGAAATGCTTGTTAACTTGTTAAATTTATAGAAAATGTCCTCATCGATTAAAAAAAAAGTTGAATACATCTGTTAACTATGTTACTAAGAACATTGTTTCATCTTTTTATGCATTAATTTAAAGTTTTTGTAAAAATATTTAACAAACTGATATAGTTTTACAGTCATTTGCGTTCTGAAAATCTGAAGAAATAAAATCTTAAGAATTAAAAAAAATAATACTTTCATTTCTTTATTTATTTTCCTTTTCAAAACCATTTTGCAATAAAATGACTCTTTAATTTTTTTTCTTCTATATAACAAGTAGAAAATTGTCTCAATGAAGTATGCTTTTTTTTAAATTTAGACTTAGAATTCTCTGGAAATTACAACGCAGTATAAAACTAATGTATAAGCTTTATTCTTCCAAAAATTCATTTTTTTCGCATTTTGTTTTTTATTTCATACTGTAAGTAAATTTTTTTGCCGCAAATTTATGTCCATAAAAATCTCCTCATTCAATTCTTATGCATTGTTTTGAATTATTAAAAAAATTAAAAGCCTTTATTTTACCAGGCTTCGTGTTAAATCACTCAAAATTAGAGCATGATAAAAAATTTTAAATGCAGATTTGGTTTCTTTGTCCTAAGATTGAAATTTAAAGGTGTTTCTTACAGGATTGAAATGATTTAAATCGTGATTAAAATAGCTATTTAAATCACTTGATTTTTTTAAAAAATCATTGATTTAAATCATTTATGATTTTTTTTATTTTTATACAAAATTTCTTCATTTAAGCCAGTTAATTTTTTTAAAATAAATCTTAAATGTAAAATATCTTCGTGCGAAAATATTTATAAATGTATTTCTTTAGGATGTGATTTTTTTATGGTCTGATTTCATTGATAATGAAGATTTTATCCAAAGAAATAATGAAATAATGTAAATTGTTATATTTCAAAATAGATTAATAATTAGATAAAATTAAAGACTTGACTTGAAATTGTTTAATTATACTTTCCCATTTGCTGTGTAGAAAATAATTTGCTTGTAATAAACATATTTTAATTTTACATTAATCAGAATTTGATACCACGTGACTAAATCTTTTCCCTTGTTTTTTCATTCAGTTATTTTTCATGTTTTAAGATCATTATTAATATACTCAAACCACCTAAGTTTTGACCACTCTTTCTTTCGAGTGCTTGTTGGTTTGGCTATAGGTACTTTTTTAGGTGCTCCTAAATGTCGTTAATTCTAATTTGATGATCAGCTCATCTTAGCTTTAATCAACCTAAAAGTACAAATGTTTAGCTACACGTAAGTAGAAATTAAATTGTATGATAAAAGTTACTCATTTTACGAGCGAAAAAAAATCTACAGAAAAAAGATACCTAGAATAAAATGAATAGAAAGCAATAAAAATGATAAAACAATAAGTAATTATATTAAATTAAAACCATTGAGTTAATCGATTGTTTAAAATTTGCTATGCAGTAAGCTGTAATTGAAAATTTTAAATTATAATAATTGATCATTTAAAATATATTTTGTGATAAACTGAACTAAATTAAAACAATAATGAGTAAATTTCAGTACCATTCAGTATTTTTAATTAGGAAGTACTATGTATATTCATTTATAGAGGAAGCTTCGCAAGTAAAATAATACACTTTAATAAACCATAACAGTTAGATAAAATTTTAAAAATTTTAATATCCTAAAATTTTAAAAATTTTAATTTTAATATGACAGAAAAGTTCTGGTAGTACAAAACGATACTTTTCATAATTTATAAATAATTATGCATTTGAAATCATTAAAAAGTAATGAAAAACCTAAAATATAGTGATTGACACTTAGTGAAGTATGATATCGGACAGATGAGGATTCTATATCCTTGAGTTATTATTTTCTAGTATTTAACTTTTTCAAAATAAATAAATATATAACTTTTGAATCATTGTTTCAAACGACATATAAATTTACCACGTTAAAACAAAACCTAAACTTCAGAAATATGTTAAGTTTTTCTCACATCTAACAAAATTGTCAACAATTTTGAAATTAAACTAAATGCATAACAGATTTATTATTTACGCATTATGTCGAATAAGGTTTACTGAAACGGAGGGCGTAAATTTAATGCTAATGTGTTTAAATCGTTATAAACTTAATATGTTTTTAAAATTAATACGATGCATTTTTTTTTAACATTATTATTATGAGGACGAAAATTATTAGGATAATAGCAATTATTATGATATTAATGTTAATAACAATATTACTAAAAACATCATGATTAATGATAATAATATTATTTATAGGGAATCCAGAAATTTATTTCTATTAAATTAGTAGTATTTTTAGAATTGCATATTTTATTGTAATATGCATTTAAATAACATCGTTATACATGCTTAAATTATTAGATTTTAAAGTGTTGTGGAGATAATATTAAATATCAGGAAGGCATAAAAGTAATAAGGCATAAATAAAATAAATAAGAAGTGTTTTTAAATAAAAAATTTCTAAATAATATGCTTTTTTATGTGTTTTTATAGAGGAGGGGGATAATTTTTTTAAAAATTTAAAAATCATATCAGTTTTATGGAAATTATCTGTCCTCTGTCCTGTCTCGAATGGGATTCTATTTTTGAACGTGAGGGAAGCTCAAGATTACCCAGGGACTTAGCTTGCATCTTCCACAATCCCGTGAACCCCATCTCTAGACAAGGTCACTTGGTTTCCTTATCAACCAGCCATATGGCTTTTACAGCGCATGCGCCTCTCTGATATACTGACGCACGTTGTCCTATAACAAAAAGAGATTATTTCTTTTTTTAATTCGAATTTGTTTTTAAGTTGTTTTTTGTTAGAAAATATGCAATAATATGTGTTTAAACGAATGAAAAGGTTCTATCTGATGGGGATACTTAATTTAGAGTAATAAAAAAATTACCAAACTGAGCTCCTTCATTCTTCTATCGATATTTATTTTTAAGGGATGGATACATATTATTAAAAATTTTTAAGTCATTTTGTTGTTGCAAATCAAAATATCAAAAATTGCTCCAAAAGGTCTGTGTACTTTTTAAAGTTAAATGTGGAAAAAAAAGGGCAGGGGAACGTATGAAATCTATTGTTTTTTATATAAAATATTTTATATAAAATTTGTATGAAATATATTGTTTTTTTGTATAATATCTTTTATATAAAATTTGCATGAAATCTATTGTTTTTTTATGTATAAAATCTTTAACATAAAATTTTTATGAAATCTATTGTTTTTTATATAAATTCAAATGTCTTTTTCAAAAAAAAAAAAAAAAAAAGTTTTTTTTTGTTTTAGAAATATATAATAATTGAAATTTAAAAATGAACAAAGGCTTTTTTTAAGGAAACTACCTTCCATCGGTGGCTCGCTGGATCGTCTTTTCCTTTTTTCAGAGAATGTGAATTTCTTGTTAGAAATTTATATCCTGAAAAGCACTCTGTTGCCATTAAAAAAATGCAAATGTAGAGTATTAGTGCCAGTACTTTAAAGCTAGATAAAAACTATCGCATATAACAATACGTTTCAGGCAAATTTTTTTAAAAATTAATTATTAAAAATGAATATATATATTGCTGAGTACGGTTTAAAATCTATATCAAAGAATTTTTGCAAAGTAAAATTAGTATAAATACGGCTCGCACCGACCACAGTGCTGATGTAAAATATCCTTAGTGGTAGATGGATCATGGTTTAGAGTTCCCTTGCAGACAGACTAGCCATGAGAGGTTTTCGTGGTTTTCCTTTTCACGTAAAGAAAATGTGGGTTAGTTCTATCAAAAAGTCTTCCACGAAAGCAAATTTCTCCCAAAACTTAGTCCAGGAATTCCCTTGTTTTCTGGATTTGGTTCAAAGTTACTTTATTTTATACAAAGTTATTTTATTTTTTATAATAACGGTCGTTGAACAACCGACCCAATTTCGAGTTTATGACTATCAATTTGATAACCGCGGCTGAGCAGCCAACCCAATTTTGGGTTTACGACTATTAATGTTCAACTCCGTAGCCTTATAATTTCGAACCCAATCCAGAAGACAAGACAGCTCCTAGATCAAGTAGAGGGAGAAATTTACCTTCGTGGAGGACTTTTTGATTGAACTAACCCGCTTT